ATTTTTACCTTACAAATATTTAAATTTTGAATATTTAGCAAATTTACTATCAAGATAACAAAAATTTTAAATATACTTTAAGTGAATCCTTTTCAAAAACTTTTATCATAAAAATTTTCCATTTATTTATTTATTTATTTTAGAAACATTTTGTCAAGAATTAATAGAAACAACATCGAATAATTCAACAGATATAAATTTATTTAAAAGCAATGGTTCCTTATACAATTTATATAATAATGTCGTTACTACGCCTACTCAAATTTTAAATATTACGTCCAAAGATATTTATCTCGTTAACGACACTCAAATAAATAATAATAATAATAATACATACGATATAAATAAAGAAAATAGAGAAGAAAAAACCGTTAAAAAATCAAATGAAATATATAAAATTTTCCACGACATTAATAATAATACTGAAACTTACCGCGAACTTGAAGAACAAAATGGCGGTGAAGAATATTCAAATAAAACCACAGCCACCTTTGAATGCCGAAACGAAACCGTTATTAATAATAATACTTTTGGTATCGAGGTATCGAACGAAACTTTTCTGTGTAATTATTCAATAATTAATAATAAATCGAATGGATTTAATGGAGGGGAATCAATTTTTAGAACTGTTGATACTGTTGCAATTGCTGCTGGTGCATGTTTAATATCAGCTGTTGTCGGTTATTTAAGTTGTATAAGTTACAGACGTTTCCTACAGTAAGTATCGTCGGACAAAATTATTTAAAATTTTTTTTTTTTTTTTTTTCCCAATATTTTATATTTAAATTTTATTTATTATTTTTCACACAGGAGAAAATATGGTAGTAGTCAAATATTAAATCACGAAGATGTTTACGACACGACTGATTTAAAATATTTTGAAATATAAAACACAAAATTCGAACGAAAAAAAAAAATGTTTTAATAAAATACTCTCTCTGTCTCTTCCGCATCGTAACGGAAATAAATGGATTGCGTCATCGATGACGTATGCATCGACGATGATACGTCACATTTTTTACAAACAAATCAAAACAAAAACAAAACAAATTTTTAAAAATCAATAACAATAATAATAATTTTTATTGATTGATTGATTTTTAAATAAATAAATAATTTTAATAAATAAATCAATTAAAATTATGATGATGATAATAATAATAATAACAATATTAAAAATCAAAAATAATAAAAAAAAAATAAAAAAAAATTTTTAATTCTAATTTTTTTGGCTTAAATCAATTTTATTACATTTATTTTACACGCACGTGCACTACCACCCACCCCCCGCGCACACACACGTGCACCCCCCCACACACATTAATACTGAAATAATAAATAAATAAGAAATCGTAGAGGGAGTGAAGTTAGGGGGGGGCAAGGGGCGGTGGGCGGGGTTTTTTTATCCGGATAAATTTCATTAAATTTTAAAATTAATAATAATAATAATAATAATAATAATAATAATAATAATAATAAATATTAATTAATATATATTGTACTGTTGTAAAAAAAAAAAAAAAAAAAAAAAAACAAAATGAAAAAACGATTTGATGAGTAGTAAATGGAAGAAATAAATAAAATAAAAAATTTTCTTAAGTCGATGATGATGATAATAATCTACCATTTTTTTTTCACCATAATCCTCAAAATTTTAATAATTAATTTAATAATTAAATCAATTTATCTTTTTGATCATCCATTTTTTTTAATAAATAAATTTTACTTTATGTAAAACTAATTCATTATTATTATTATTTCGAATGTCTCAATTATTAACTTTTTCCAACAACAACAAAAAATTTTACATTTTTTATTACATGGTAAATTATTTGTTTATAAATTTCCACGATTATTATTATTATTACAATTGATAAAAAAAATTAATTGATAACAAAAAAAAAAAATGGGTGATATGCATAATCACATTTAATACTATTTATTTAATAAAAATTATTAATTATTATTAACTTTTTGAGTGAGATTCTGATTTTTAATAACAACAAAAAATATTTTAAATATAAAAAATAATAATATAAATTAATTTAAAGTCTATCGATTGACTGATTGATTGATTGATTGATTAATAAAATAAATATAAAGATGAAAAATAAAAAAAAAATAATTTTTTTCTTATCAAATTTTTTTTTTTTTGAATTGATTGATTTAAATAAAAAATTATTAATGATTATATGTATATATGTACATCTCTTACATAATAACTTCCATTAACAATAAATATTAATGATGATGATATTCAGATACCTGAATTATATACCTGAATTCAAATTTTAAAAAAAATTATTTTTCTAATAATTTTGGCATGAAATTAACTTTTTTTTTATACACACATTTTTCAATCACGGTATAACGTTAATGTTTTTCTTTTTTTGATATTTTATTAAATGGGGGGCAAAATGTACGACATTTTGTTTTTTATAAGAGTTATGGTAACGATATTATTATTATTTCTTCACCTAAATTCAATTATTATCGTCAATTTTCGATGATGCTTCAGCGTATCTTCCTAAAACTAATGCTCTGAACAAAGGTCCAACTTCTCGTGGATCTGCCAAAGCATTTATAACCATTTTTTCTACATTTCTCATGATTGCAACTTTTTGTCGACTTTTTAATGGATAAGTTATTGGTCCCGTTGGCCCAGCCTAAAAAAAATTAATCAATGACAATTTGAAAGGAAAAAACGTTTTTCTTTTCCTCCTTCCCCGCCGCCACATTTTACTTCAACTTACTTTGTACCAAAAATTTATTGAAAATGTATAACCTCCTCTCATTAATGATTCAATATGATGCCACCAATAAATTGGGATGTAAAGGACATCACCTGGTCCGAGTACAGTTTCTTGACCTTTGACTTGACTAAATTTAGGAAATTTTTTTAAATCTGGATTTTCAAAATCAACCTGACCGAGAAAAAAAAATGAAAAATTAGGAAAAAATTTTAATTTATTATTATTGAATTTTTTTTTCTTTTACCTGACTTTGTCTGTCGTGTGGATGATACACTGGATGAGGATAAAGACATTCGAATTGTTCGGGTGGAAATAAAATACATCTTTTATATCCTGTGATTTGAGCGAATAAATTTTGTTGCTCATCGTAATGACAGGGAGTAACATTACCTGCAACAACAAAAGAATTTATGTAATTGTGATTTATTAATATCATTTCTACATATATTTTTATTAATTTTATTTATTAGAACTCATTATTATGTATTCAATATAAATTTTTATTTTTTTTAGTCGATTATTTATTAATTTGATAGTTTTTTAAACCATTTCGATAATTTTTTTCACACCGAAGAGTAAAATACATTTTTTTAATTTCTTATTTTATTATCTTTAAATAAATATTGTTAAGCTTATGAATCTTTTATTAAATGCATTAGTTTTAAATAATAGCACACAAAATTTTCTTTTTAAAAAAAAATAGCTTGCATTCGGTGAAATTACAATAACGAAAAACAAATTTTTTTTTTTTTAAATAAAATAAAAAGAAGAAATCACACAAAGTTCGAGTAAAAAAAAAATTTAATTTTAATAAAGTACACAAATATAACATATGTAATATTTTCAAAATATGTGGTAAATAAATTATATAAATATATTTGTAATCATGAAATTTTTTTAAAACTACCTTCCATTGAAATTAACAATAGATTCGACGTCAAAGGACCCCAATTACTAAGTTTTTGAATATTCGATAACCAGTCCCATTTGAAATGAAGAAAATCATCTACAATAGCAGGACCAACAGTATTATTTAATAATTGCTGAAGGTATAGTCTGAAAAATTTATGAACATGAAAGTTAATGGAAATTTTTTTAAAAAATTGTTAAATACGTTAAAAAAATTACATCGAAACCGTTAAAATAAAAAATGATTATTATCACCTGTCATCTCCTTTTTTCCATTCTCTCAGTCTTTGGCAAAACTCTGATAATTTTATATCTATTCTTTTGGTAGGAGGTGTGAATTCCATTTTGTAATTACTTAATAATTGATTAACTTTTTTATCATCAAAAAATTTAAATAAATGATTCCTCGATTGAAATACTGTAAAATCACTGTCACCCATATTTTTTTCTAAATATTCCAAATCCCATTTTTCTGTAGATTTAACTAAATCAGAACCGAGAATAACGACTGGTTTCTAAGGGTAAATAAAAAAAAATCTATTGAAACATAAACACACAAACACACATTCATTAAAAACAATAACAAACAATCAACGTCATTGAACTCTAAATAAAAAACCTACGATGTTGTGAATGAGTAAAACAAAGTCGATATTTCTACAATACATTTTAAAATAAATATTTTAATAAAATAAATTAATATTAAAAAATATGTGTGAAAAAATTGAAAAAAAAAAAAAAAAAAAAAAATTATTACATTTATGTTTAAGGCATTCATATAATCAAGGGCGAAAATAAATGTTTTTAATTAGTTTTAAAAGAAAATATATATAAAATAAAAAAAAAAATACATACGTTTTGTAAAATAAGTTCCAATACTTTTGGATCATCAAAACGAAGTCTAGGAATTTGATCACATTGAATGTTATACTTTCTTAATTGACTCTGATCCCAATTTTTCTCATTGTTTTCAGCCATTTTCATTTCGTTTTAGCACGTAGTCAACAATTTTCGTGGCCGATGCTGGTACTAAAAATTTTAAATTTCGTCTGCTTCGTCACGTAGGTAATCATTGGATAACCGCGGTGCAATGTAATTATATATTTATTTATTAAATTTATCGTTTTAGAAATTACTAATAATTATTTTTTACGGAGAAAATATAAATTTCGTTCATGTTCGTTAAATAAATGTATTTATATATGATGATAAACATTTATTTAAATTGAAAATTTATTAACGTAAACAATGTGACAACCTTGATAATGAACAGGATAGTAAATTCGCGCCAATTGTTTAGATTTCGGTATGATTTTATTAGTACTACAAATATGTCTCGATTTCAATCCGTATCTTCCGTAAAAATTGTTCCATCAAAACCTGTAAAAATCTCTGTTGAAGGTAATATAGGATCAGGGAAATCAACATTTTTAAACTATTTTAAACAATTTTCTTTTGTGGAAACATATTACGAGCCCCTTGAAAAGTGGCGTGACGTGCAGGGTCATAATTTATTACAACTATTATATACAGATATGTCAAAATGGGCTGCCACTTTTCAAAGTTACGTTCAACTAACTAGAACGCAAATACAAACCTCTAAACCAAGGGCAGAAACAAAAATACAAATGTTTGAAAGATCCATTCAAAATAATAGACATTGTTTTTTAGAAAATGCTTATGAAAATGGTTACATATTACCAGCACAGTATTTTGTTTTATGCAAATGGTATGAATGGATTAAACAAAATAATGATATATCTTTAGATTTAATTGGTGAGTCTACTTAAAAATAATTTTTTTTTCGTTCTTTTTTTTTCCCCACAATTACAAGATATATATATATATATATATATATTTGTTTGATTACAGTTTATTTAAAAACTTCTCCTGAAGTTGTGCACAAAAGAGTTTTATCTAGAAACAGACCAGAAGAAAGCATTAGTTTAAAATATGTACAATCTATTCACGATGCACATGAAAATTGGTTATCAAGTTCAAATTTAAAAGTTCCCGTTTTTGTCGTCGATGCTGATAAACAATTTGCTGAAGTTATTAATGTCTGCCAAAAGAATTTACCTTCGTTATTCGATCCTGAAACTGTAGGTAATAAATATTTTATTTTTTTTTTTTTTATGTATGTTATTAACATGATGAAAAATTTAAATAATCAATTAAATATGTTTTTTTTTCTTACAACAGATAAGTAATTATGCATAAATTATAAAAATAAGAAATTTTTTTACATACAAACAAACATGCCTTGAATGGATTTTATTACATTGAGAAAAAAAATTTATAATTTTTTAAACAAATTCTTATTTATTTTTGTATATTTTTTGTATTATTATTTTATTATTATTATAATTGTTTTTTATTAAATGTGTTTTTTATTTAAATACATATATAGATAATATTATTTGAAAATGTTATTAAAATTATTAATTTTCCTCTCTTTCGAGACCTCTTTAATTCCCCTAAATCAATAAATGTGAAAAAAAACTAACATTTTGAGTGATTGAATGAACAACAAAAAAATTAAAAATATATTAGAGTATGCTGGAATGTCGTTTATCAATAGATAATTTATTAATATTAAAAAAAAAATAAAATTTTTCGATAATTAATGTATTATTATAAATAAATTACAAAGTTCATAAAATTCAATATAATTAAACAAAAAGGAAAAAATTGTTAATAGTTAAATAATTAAAAAAGTTTTTTCTTTCTTTTTTTTTTTTTTAACTGGAGAAAGTACCTTCAATTAAAATAATTGATAACACCCCAAAAAAAAAAAAAAAGAAAAAAAGTTTAGCTTAATTATCTTACTTTCTAATTATTAATACAGTATTTAGTTGACTAGATTTTTTTAAGAGTCTTTTATGAGAGAATAATAAATATTTCATGTTTCCATTGGAACTCCCAAATGACAAACACATGCAGATGGAAATTTGAATATTCTCATTCTTGGACAAAGTTCCGGAGCATCCGGATCCCAACTTATAAGACGATGATATGAAAATCTTTGAACACATTTTGTTGTTTTGTTTGTTAAATTTCCCATTTTAATACATTTCATTTCGTTTAAACCGCTGCAGGGTTTTCCAGGGTTTTTACAAGTGTCTGCTGTAATTCTTTGTTGCGACATTTCTAACAATCGTTTAAGAAAATTATTATAAAATTTGATTTAAACCGAATGTAAATAATGTATTTAAAGATTGTGTAAAATACCTGAATGTTGAACAATGACAAACCATTTTCCTGTTGTGACTTCTTTTGCATATCCAGGTTCAATGAGAGAAAATTCAGATTGACATGCTTGTATTCCATCATTCAAAGTCGATCTTTTACGTACGACATGCTATTAAACCGAAAAAATTTTAGTTTTTTCTTTGAAAATATATATGAAACGACGTCTAATAAATGTATATTAATACCTCATCATTTTCAGCGTCCGTTATCGACAATGTATTATTATTATCATCAACATCTGATCTACTGGAAAATTGCATAGAATCTTGATGATCAATTAAATTTTGCGTACTCATAGCTTCCAATAATTTCACGCATTTTTGAACAATTGTACCGATTTGATGCCTTTAATATGTCAAATTTAAATATAAATAACATAGTTTTAGTAATTAAAAAAGAAAGGTAATAACATAAAAAAAAAAAAAAATCAAAAAATGAGGAGCAATTGTTAGAGCTTGACGTTTTTTTTTTTTTTTTTTTTTTTCATTCGCATTGACTTTGATTTCACACTTCATGGTTATAATTTTTAACTTATTAAAAGACAGAACGTAAAAACATGTTTCTTTTTTTTTTTTTTTTTAAATAAGCAAAATGAAAAAGATAAAAAAAAAACTTACGTCGGATATCTTGGGGGAGATTCACAAAAACCTTTCTTTTCATGATTCGGACAGTCGGGGTTTAAAATATCACGAATCGTTGCTTTTTGATTTGAATATTGTTCCGGCGGCGGTGGCGACGGCGGCTGCTGCTGCTGCTGCCACGATGTACTCAGAAGTTTCGACGGATTTCCCGGGTTTTTCATTGAAGTTTCACTAAAAAAAATTTAAACGTTTTTATTATATTCATTTACGATTCTCGAAAGTGATAAAAAATTGTATAAAAAAAGAAAAACTTACCTGAAATTAGGAGGTTTAATTACTTTTATACCAGGTGCAAGTACAGGTACAGATTTTAAAATTTGATTTGAAGAAGAAACAGACAATGGATTGGCGTTTAAAACGTTCATTGATGAACCATATTTCAAAATGGATGACGAATCCGAAAATGGAATATTAGGTTTGTAAAGATAATGATTCCCGAATCCCGAAAGACCAAAATTAGTTGCCACGTGAGGATTATGTGTCGTATATTGAGTATTTATTAATTTTTTAGGTTTTGATGGTGGTGGTGGAACGTTCATTGAAAAAGGTGAACGATAATTGGAATCGTATATATTTCCAACAATTTGTTTCTCCATATTGTGATTTCTAATATTCGACATTGTCATGTGGTTTTTGTACATGAGAGATTCTGCAGGTTCGTTATCGAAAAAAATCAAATCATTTTTATCTGGTCTAAAAGAATTGGTAGGTATTAAATATTTATTAGGTTTTTTATATATTTCAAAAATATTTTTCACATTGGAAGATGATTCCTGTGGAAAATTTGTTTTCATTTTTATAGTCATTCGTCCTGGCTGTCTTACTAATTTTTTCATTTTATTATTATTATCAATAATTGAGTAATAACGTGGAGTTGCAAGGGTACCAAAATTTTTATACTCTCTATTTTCTATAAAATCTGAATCTTGTTCTGGTGTTTCAATAAAATTTCTTTTTATAGCTTTTGGATCATAATTAAAAGATTTGTTAAATTCGTCATAATCCATCGTTTGTTCGTCATCGATTTGTTCTAAAGGTATGGGATACCTTATTTTCTGTTGGTTTATTATTTTTTTAGGTCTTGCAACAGGGATTGTATTTATGAGTTTAACTTTGGATACGTTTGGTGGTATTTTAACAATATGTTTTTTTATACCCTTTTCCGAATATGGTATCTCTATTCTATCGATAGTCATTTGTCTACTACCTCTACGATCGGATTTAATTACTTTTAATTCAGTAGTATTATTATTATCGTTCGACGTCATTAAATTTTTTTCATTTTTTATAAATTCTTCGGCTGTAACGATTAAACCGAAAATAACAATACCAAATAACATAAAACGAAACAACATCTAAAAAAAAAAAAAACATAAAAAAATTTGTACTTTTTTTTATCTTGAACAAAAAAAAAAAAAAAAAAATTTAATACAAACCCTCATAATGAAAAATTTATCTCACTTTAAACGCAAAAACAAAAATAAAAAACTATTAAATAAACGGTTGTGAAATATACAAACAAACAAACAACACTCTACAATTGTTGCTACTATCCAATTAACTAATACATATTAAAAGTTAGTCTTTGAAAACATTTTCAAAGTCTCCCTACCAATTTTTTTTTTTTTTGTTCTGCTCTGAAAATATTTGTTGCATGTGATTTTAAAAAACAAAATTTTTTTTTTTTTAACATAAAAAGTTATTAATTTGATTTAAATTAATAAATTTTTAATAACTTGGTTTATTAAAAAAAAAATGTTTAAAATTAATTTTACAACCGTTAAAATATCAATTATAATTTATAACAATTAATTTAAGATTTTTAAATATCAAATAATAACATACAAAGGTATCATGTTCTAATCCTTATTTCTAATGACACTTTAATTTTTATATACATTATATAAAAAATAATCAATCTTTATTCATACTCCATTGATTTCTTTACAACAACCAGTTAACCAAATAAACCAAGTGATAAACAATTCATCTATTGAAAACATTGAGATTCTCTTCATCTAAATACTCTCATGGATATGAATAGTGGTGAGGAACAGGTTGTTGTATGCTATTGTATGCTGTAGTTTGCTTTTCTGTGCTGTTCTATGCTGTAGTTTGCTGTTCTGTGCTGCTCTATGCTGTAGTTTGCTGTTCTGTGCTGTTCTGGGCTGTTCTGTGCTGTTCTGTGCTGTTCTGGGCTGTTCTATGCTATTGTATACTGTTCTATGCTGTTCTGTGCTGTTCTGTGCTGTTCTATGCTATTGTATACTGTTCTATGCTGTTCTGTGCTGTTCTGTGCTGTTCTATGCTATTGTATACTGTTCTATGCTGTTCTGTGCTGTTCTGTGCTGTTCTATGCTATTGTATACTGTTCTATGCTATTGTATGCTGTTCTGTGCTGTTCTAAGCT